AGAGAGAGAGAGAGAGAGAGAGAGAGAGAGAGAGAGAGAGAGAGAGAGAGAAACGAAGCCTGCCTTTTCTGACTTGGAACATACATTATGTATTTGTTGCCGTACTCCATCACCCCAAACACATGACTCCATGTGGCATCTCTGTTGGTGTCTAGTACTGTCTACCTTGTGCTTTGCGTTCATGGCTTCGAACATGCATTACGTTGAATTCATGCTCACTCAAAACTCATGCTACCTCTGCTTGAACATGTCTAACCCCGAGCCTCTCTATGTTGCTCGTGGCGCCTGCCGGTCCCGTGCGCCGCGAGTTGGTTTTGTCCATTCTTCCGCACCCCCCCCCACCTATCTCACCTCTCTCTTGTCCCACTTGTGAGGTGTAGTTTAACCATATGGTTGTAGTTGTCCGTTATCATGTACTTACTATGTACGTAAATTCATCTCGGAATCTCCCGATGATTGATGGTGGTCCCCACGGTTTGGTGTACTTATTATTACTGTATCTACGTACAGCTGTCTCCCCCCCTCACACCCCCCCCTTCCCTTATGATTGCTGGTGATGCCGAATGCCAGAGGAGCCGACACAACAATGTCAGCGGGATGCCGATCGACGCTGCTGCGGGTGTTGGTCGTTGTGGTAGCAATGAGCTCCTCCCCCGTCTACGGCCGCGAGCGTCTTCTCTCGGGAGCCAACCCACCAGCAAGCAAACAAGACGGAAGCGACGACGAAGAGAACTTGAAAGGGTGGTCGTTGGCCCGTCGGTGGCTGCAGACTGATGACAGCGGATGCCTTTCGAACTTCTCCAGATTTCAAAGCACGTCAGACCTCCTGACCTGCAGGAAGCAGTTGGTTGACAAGATCGACCGCACAAGGAATGCCGAGGATGTGGCTGTTCTTCCCGCTGCTGCGGAGGGTGGTGGTGGGGATTCAGTCTTCTTCGTGTTGAATGGCAGAGTTTGGCGGCGAAACGCTTCCGAATCGACGACGATGGGAGAGGGATCCCGGTGGCAGGCGAGCGAAGTAACGCCCATCTTTGGGCCGAGTGAGTACAACAGGAGTACAGGAGAAAGTGGACGTGTTGACGACCTGAGGTCATTGGCGATGCTTGATGTGATGGATGGTGGTGGTCAAAACAACAAGAGCAGAAAAGTTATGTTCGTTGAAGACAGGACAAATCGTGTGGTACGTTGGTTCTCCATCGACGGACTCGAGCCTGCAATTGAGGACTTCCGCAATTTCAGCAACGACACAGGCGGTTTCTCAATGATAAGCTTGGCGGGTTATGCCGAAGGCGGGGTCTTGTACGGTTCCACACGTTCAGCTCTTTACCGTATGAATGTGACGGGGACGTACGACGATCGGCCGAAGCTATGGCTAGGCTCAGAATCGATAAAGGACGTGGTCAACAGCCCTATCCCCGGTGATGTCCGATTTGATCGGGCGTACTTGAGCACGTCTGCCATAACCGCTAATGGGGAGGCCATGTATGTGCTCGAGCGAAACGCCGACGTCGTTCGGCGAGTGCTGATCGCGAGCGGGGCGGTAGAGACGGTCGCCGGAATCCGAGGTGCGCGTGGCGATGCAGATGGTTTAGCCTCGGAGGCAACGTTTAATGAACCTATCGGGCAGGCGCTTACGGCTGATGGGTGTAACCTCTTTGTGGGCGAGGTGAATGACAATAGAGGACGGATACGCCTGGTCAGCTTCCAGAGAACTGGGACATATGTCCGTACGGTTGCCAATCTCAACGTGCCGGTGATAAGATTGGCCATGCATCCAAACGGCGAGCTCCTGTATGCGGCAGCCGGCGCTGGGTCGGTGTTCGAAATAAGTGTGAACAAATCGGTACTGCCCCAGTGTTCCGGCGACGTGCCTCCCAAAAAAAAGGCCGGAGTCTCTAAGACTGTCATCGCCCTGGCTGGTATCGTACCGGCTTTGGTTGGCTTTCTCCTGGCTGTTGCTCTAGCTGTAAAAATAAGGAGAGGGGCGGAATGTGACTGGGTATGGCCTTGGCCGCGATGGGGGCGATTAGGACCCTGTCTTCCGACGAAGGATGAAAACCCCCAGCCTGGAGGAAAACATGAAACAGCACTTCTCACTTCATTCTGGGACGAGTCTGGGTCTCAATCGACTTGGGACACGGGTAGGAGCTTGTCAGGAGTTCGAACCCAGGAGTTGCAGCCGTCCGGTCCTAGGCGGTTCTCCTTCAGCGAGCTGGCAGATGCCTGTGATGGATTCAACTCGAGCAATCTGGTTGGCAAGGGTGGTGCCGCCGAAGTCTTCAGGGGAGTGCTCACTGGTGGCCAAGTCGTAGCCTTGAAGGTCATGAAGGATGAGGACTTGTCTCGGGCATTGCTTGGGCAGTTTCAAGCGGAGCTGGATTTTCTTGGCCCACTCCGACATAGCCACGTCCTTAGCATCATCGGCTTCTGTGCCGAGGAGGGTAAGTCTGTGATTGTGTATCCGTTCGTTGCAGGGGGAAGTTTGTACGACCGTCTCCATCCCCGTTTCAAATTGGCTTCTTCCCCCAAGTACGAGGGTGATGGTGTGAGTGATATCGGGGAAAACCTCTCCCAGGCAGATGTGCAGACAGTTGGCAGTGGGAGTGGCTGCACCAGCACTAGCTGCCCATGGCAACCACCGGCCTGGAGGCCCCTGTCTTGGAGCGATCGCTTCTCCATCGCCCTGCAGATTGGAAAAGCCCTGCGGTTTCTGCACGAGAGCTTGGATCCACCGGTTGTCCACAGAGACATTAAGAGTAAAAACATTTTGTTGGAGGGAGGAGGGAGCACGGGCCTGAGGGCGTATCTGTCCGACTTCGGGCTGGCAAGGCAAGGGCAGAGTGTATTCAGTGCAGAGAAGGCTGGCGAGACAGTGGAGACACATCATGTGGCAGGGACGATCGGCTACATGGCGCCCGAGTACTTCACCTACTGCAGACTGACTGCAAAGAATGATGTTTACGCGTTCGGGGTGGTGTTGCTCGAGCTCATCACGGGTTGCAAAGCATTTGGTACCGTGTCAGATTACAGGAAGAAGGGTGAGGGGGGGCATCAGGTGGAGGAGGAGGAGGAGGAGGAGGAGGGAAAGGATCGGGTGCCGACGGAGGAGGAACTCCCACAGATGTTGACGAAATGGGTGAGGAAGATGGTTGAGGACATGGTTGCACCCATGTCCTCTGAGGAGGAAGGCAAGAGAAGGGCTACGGAAGAGACTCTGAAGTTGGAGGTCGTCCGGAAGATTGCAGACGAGCGAATGGTGATGTGTGGCGAGGTTGACTGGGTTGCTGTGACCAACATGTTGGAGTTGGCAATGACGTGTATCACAGAAATGCCTGACAAGCGACCACCGATCGGTTCTGTTGTTAAGGAATTGGCTCGACTGGAGGCTTCTGAGTCCTTATGATCTTTAGAAAGAGTGTGTGTCATTGTCCCTATGTCTGGCAATGAGAGAAGTGTGGAAGGGCATCATCATAACACCCGTTCAGATGCAGGCGCTGTCTTCATTCTCTGATGACTGTCCATGCGGATCATCATCATCATTAGCCTGCCTCTATTCCTCTTCCTGACGGAGTGAATTTTCTCTTTTTTTCCTTCTATGTACGCAAGTGGTTAACTGGGACCCTCACTTTTCAGCCCATAGGTTACCCCCCTTATTCTTCCAGTCTTAAAGGATGTCAAAAAACTCTGATTGCAACATAGCTGCAGGATGATGATGATGATAATCTGGCAATGATCATCATGATGACGCTGCATGAGGAGAGGACTTGCGTGACCAGATTTTCCACTTCTCGCTCGCTAGCCACATGGGAATGCCTTTTTTCTTTCTTAAACTCTCTCTCTCTCTCTCTCTCTCTCTCTCTCTCTCTCTCTCTCTCTCTCTCTCTCTCTCTCTCTCTCT